CCCCCCCCCCCCCCCCCCACAAAGGTAACTAACACTTCCAGCTAGGGAACTGCGCTTGCACTTGCAGCTGCAGCGGCCCTGCTTTCAGGGGAGCCAAATGGCTGCAGTCAGAGCACTGAGTAGGCTCAGTCCCTGATGCATTACATCAGTGAATAAGCAAGATGCTGCCAAGAGTTGGCGAGCCAATTGGACAGAGCGCCTCCACGCCACTCGAATCCTTGAAGGTCACAAAACCAAAGCCTCGGTGCCTGATACTGGAGATATCCACTTCCGCAATCCCATAAACACAAATCAAAGAGAGCTGCCTCTGGGTTTGAGCATCCATCATGACCTCAGCGACCCAGGCTTGTCGTGGGCATATCAACCCTGCTCCGAGGGCTGGGCCACAGCATCGTGGATCTCTCCATACTGAGCAAAGTGAGATTTCAGCTTCTCCAGGTCGCAGGAGGCAGGTAGCCCGCCCTGGCAGCAATTTCATCAGACGAAATGCTGAGTGAGGATACAACCAAACACCCCGAGACACCACGAAAATCTTGACGACGTTGTACATGCCACCGCCAGACTCCTCACGTCCCTGCAAGGGTTTGCAGATCGTCACTCTGCTCTCCAGCTGGTACGGAGAGGAGAGGATGGAGTGGTCGGGACGCACGCGAGCTTCGGGCTTTTGCTCGCTCCGCATGACCGAAGCATGCACGAGCTCTCATCTTCCCGTGAAAGACAAAATCGCTGCTGTCCTGCTTCCCGCCCTGCTTGGTATCACGCACAGCCTGATACGGCCAACATGATATTTTTGCACTAATCCGGACTCAGATACAATTTTGCGAAGCCACGCTCTTCGCTGAGGAGTCGACACGCTTGCACGTAATCGTCTTGCCGTCAACCGAATGGTTGGCACCTTAGGTCGCGAGGCCTCCACGACTCTGCTGTACCGGAGACGGATGAAGAGCTTAGGTCGAGTGCGAAGAGCGGCTTCCATGGCTGCGCCGGTGGTGAACGTAACGAAGCCGAAGCCCCTCGACTGCCCACTGCCCTGCGTCAGCAAAGCTAAGCATATCCAAGCCCCACAATGCTGTCAACATGCTCTGAGCTGTTGGCGGCCTTGGTGTTTGGCCACCAAGTGAACAGCAGAACTGCAAAAGGTTTCAACAGGCAACATGCCTGCGGCCTGGGAGAAACAGCAAAGACGAAGCGACCGAATCTTTGAGAATCGGCACACAGCAACCACGGCCCTGTTTGTCTTGAACTCCCGAAACAAAAAGAAGGGCAATGTGCCTGCATAGACACACGAATAGTTGCAAGAACGACGAGCGAAAGACATGCAGGGGTAGTGCGGCAATGTTCTCGGCCATGTGATAGTGTCTGTGGATTCGTCCGATAGTATAGAATGCTCGCACCAAGCACATGACAGTCTGAGTGGCCTTGTCCAGCATGACAACACACTCAGCGATCTCGCCATAGTGTCCGAAGTGATCCCTGCAGCCAAGGAACTTGCGCAGATGTTCCTATTCAGCCAAGCCCTAGCACAAGTCGCTCTCTCCATCGGGAATTTGGCCCTGGTTTAACGACTACAGGAGCTCGTGAGCACCAAAGCATCTTGAAGTGCAACGGCTTGTCCGTGCTGCCACGGTTCCAAATTGCATTCAACTAGGGGTGCAACCGGTCATAGTCTGTACCGCACAAGGAGGAGCAGAGAAAGCTTTGATCCTGCTTGGCAACCCTCTTTGCGACATGCCAGGTACAAAGTGCAAAATCGCCTGTTCCGCGCACCTTTCAGTGGCACGTGTGGACATCCTGTGGAAACCCGCTAGCCAAGCGCCATGATAGTGTCAAACCCCTGGCGCAAACACGTCGTTCCTTCCCGTTTTTCGTCTCAGTCAACGGCTAGCACTTTCTGAAGCTGTTAGAGCCCAGATCTGGCTCGCCAAGGGTTTGGCATCTCGCCTGGATCTCTACTCTACGCCGCTACGCATGTGCTAAGCTGCGAAGCCACGCTTTACCTGGCCATGGCTCTGAAAATAGGACGAGATCTAAACTCCTCTTGCTACGCAGTGCTAACTATCAGAAGCCGCAGCCTCCAACCTGCTCTGTGCTCTGACAATCCAAGGAGAAGTTTGCACTGGACTCCTTGGACACGCCCCTCGTGCAGCCCCGGAGACCAAGGCTCGCACTCTAAGCTCTCCTTGGTGGTGGCATGCGCCAGGTTGCCGACATACACCTTACCAAAAATGATGCGGCCCTTGCCCTGGATTCCAACAGCCCCAGCATGCACACCTTTGTGTCAGAACCGGCCATGGACCACGGCTATGCTGAGCAAGAGTGTGTTATAGAGCGTGTCTTGCTTCCCGTCTGAAGGCCTCCAATCTACTTACTCAGATGGCTGGCAGGCGTCTTATCGCACTTTGAGTAGATGCTCGGGGGCACTTGCACACTCAGGTGCTTCATGGGTGGATGAATGCAGCGGAGCCAGAATGCTGAAATGGGAAGCAAGTGAATGGCTTGGGGCCCATGCAAGAAAAGATTGTTCACATGTGGCTTTGGCAACTTGCGGGAAGCATCTTTTCAACGCCGGCCTCAGCTTCTAGCTTGGTTGCCAGTTCCGCGAAGCCGTTCCGTCTCGCATACTGGGCGGCTGTCTTGCCCTGCACGACATGTGCAGGATGAATCGGGAATACGAGAGGCCGAGAACGTTTGCACATAGCTGGCATTGAACTGCCACTATGCCTCGTTGTCCACCTCCGACACTTCTGCTCCTGCTTCGAGAAAGAGTTGGCAGTAGTGCTCACGACCGGCGGCAGCGGCTTCCATCAGCGGTGTTCGACCGGTGGGATCAACCTGCGAGGGCCGTCTGAGCACAGGCGTGACTTCAATGGCACTTCCTGTCGCCTGCCGCACATCAGCACGGAAGGCCAGGAGCTGGTTCACGAGCTCTAGACCTGGCATCCGAAGGAGGGAGGGCACTGTATGGCGCACAGCACGCACAGTACAGGCGCACTTGTCGAGGAAGCGCAGCTGGCCAGGGCCAGCACACTGCAACCCTTGCTGGCCTGTCCGAATGCGGCCGCTCCAGGCGCGTCTTCGACAACTTGGAAATGCCGTTAACTTTTCGTCGCTCAGATTGAGCTTCTCGAGACTCTCTCTCTTTTCGCGGTTGCCTTGCTTGCTCTAAGGTCACCATCGAATAAGCCCGACAGGGCAAACAATACACGGCCCAGAGGCCAACAGACACACAAACAAACGGAAGCGAGACAAAATTCCGGCCGCAAGGCAGTGCAAGGCAAGACTTGGGAGGTCATCCAGCAGCAAGCAGCACCTCTCCACGTATGGGTATGGCGGCACGATGGGCACACTCTTTGATTCGGCCAGGGTCGGAGAAGGCAATCCCGTCAATCCTTTGCGCTCCATGCCAGGCAGCCGAAGCAGGGCAGACAGGGCAGAAACAAAATCGCTGGGCAGCTCGGGAAATGGCAGCGCGCACGAACCCTCGTCTGTGCCCGAACGACTCCGTCGAAAGACGCAAGGCTTTGACGGGCAGCTTTACTTGGACGATCAGTACCCATCAGCCGCGCTTCCATCGTGCATCACCATCTCTATCTGAACCACCGCCAATTTGTTCAATGTGTTTTCTGCACTCATTCCTACCTGACAGCATGCATTTTACTTTGCCTCTTTAGGATCCGCAGCTGCTTGCAGAAGGATCTTCGTGCAGCCTGCACCTGAGTTTCCATGCGAAAGAACACGATTCAGACGACAGGGATCACACGGTACTGTATCCCATATCATGCGCCAAGCACAGAGGATGGCCTTTAGATCTGCGACTGGACCGGCGGACATGTTTAACTACTTCGCTACGCATCCCTACACCTGAGGAGCCTGAAGGGCTGTTGCACCTTGCAGGAATTCTGAAGTTCCGCGCTGCCAGGTTGAAGTCTGTTAGCAACCATACAGGCAAAGAACATCCTCGCATACACGCTGCAGACAAAGCTGTCAGCTGCGCGCCACTGCGGTGATGAACATCTGCCTTCAATGGCCAGGTTCTTCAGCACTGCCAGGCATTCCGGATTTTCAGTCCTGCCGCTCCAGGAGCTCGCTAGCCACATCACACCAGCCATTTCCTCAGCTCTGACCCGACCTCATGGAGATGCATTTGGCACAAGCTCCCGAATGAACTTTCACCAAAACACTGCATGCCAGAGTCAGAAGTGACTGGCCACCAGCACCTATCGCAACGGGCTGCACACAGCCCGCTGGAATTCCGCAGGTTCAGGCCTTGCTCGGCATGGCATGCATTCCTCGACTGGCAGCTCAGGCCCACAAGCTTCAAAATCAAGACGCAAGCATGACAAGGCATAGCAAGGGTTGACAATGGCCAGCTTGCAGCTCAGAGGCAGCTCTTTGTGGTAGCAAAGCCAGAGCAGTGACCGATACTGTCGTTCGGCTTCCGAAGGTCTTCCGGCTGCCGCTACCAGAACTTCCGCCTGGACAAAAAAAACAATGGCAAGAAATTGAGGAGGCTGTCGAAGACTTCAGCGATCCTGCATTCGCAAGTCCCTGGACGTCTACAGCCTGCAGCCTGCCTCTGCGGCTTTTCCGGCCTCTTTCAAGTCAAGCAGGAGCCTGCCACAGATTCCATCAACAGTGCTAGCAGATACACCCGCACCCGTGAACCAGACCAGTCTCTCGGTTCAAGACTGGCGGTTCGTGCGTGCGCCTTCTGTCCAGCCTTGGGCTGATTTCCGGTGGATTCTGCAATTCCCACACCAATCGCCTGGTCTGCAAGTCACTTTCAATGACCAACTCCAGAAGGCAGGCAATCGAAGCTTCGAGTGGCTGTTCCGGTGTCAGAGTCGAGAGGAAGGCAGCGAGCTGGCCGTCCCCAACAGCGCCGAACTGAGCTTCAAAGCTGGCCTGTTCTCAGACACAGCCCCCGCAAGGCAAACCGCCAATTTTCACTCTTGGAGTTGTGCGCAAGCCTGATTCCACTGGTCTTTGGCCGCGGTCGACAGCTCTGCGAGAGCTGCTGTGAGCCGGTGCGTGAGTTCGTCGCTTGCCTCCTGTGAGCTCCAAGGTGCATGCATGATTTCTGTCTTGCACAACCGAGGCGCTGTTGGGAGCCGTTTAAGTCCATATATGTACTAGCCGATTGCCCCGTCCAAACCTCTGCCACGAAGCCTGTAGCAGCACGTGAAATTTTCCTGCACACCTCTGCGGTCCTGCGCTGGCTTGGAGTCTGCACTTGAAACTTCCGTCAGCTCCGCTCCTGATTGCAATCAGAAGCCACCACCAATGCTCCCTGTTCCGAAGCTTTCAATGCTACAGTCCGTAGGCTTCGGAGAACGCTTTCGTGCTGATCTACAGGTGTAAGTGGGTGTGTGTGTGCGTGCCTGCAAATACATACATATATACATATAAACATATAAACATATAAACATATAAACATATAAACATATAAACATATAAATATACAAACATGTATACATATAAACATATAAACATATAAACATATATGAATATATGCATACATATATATATACATATGTGCATATATACATGTATACATATATACATGTATACATATATACATATATACATAATGGACATATATACACATATATACATATACCTATACACATATATACATATATACATATATACATATATACATATATACATATATACATATATACATATATACATATATACATATATATACATATATACATATATACATATATACATGTACACAT